GGAACAGAATGCCACATTCTGCAATGCAAGTCACTGCAAACAAAGTCACAAAGACAGCTTTTAATAATGAATTGGCTGGACAGAACTCCAGAACAGAATCACCACTTAATTTGCTCACTCACCCTTTTTCTAATATGCACAATTCGTCCACAGTCCAAAAACCCTGTTCATCCTTGCACATTCCTAGAGGTGAGCATACATGTTTTGTTGTCTCTGCTGTCGGTTTGGTGTCCTCGCACAACTTTGTTACTTCACTTAGATGAGTCAATGGTAGACATTTCTGGGTTTCACAATTTGATGATGGTAAACCTCTAACTATTTCACGAACAGGACAGGTTAATGAGTTAACCTTCTTTTGTTCATCATCCTCAAATTCAGTATTCATTACGGTCTCTGTCACAGAAATTGTCTTTAAAAGTGTCTTTTTATCGAGAGACGGCCATCTGCTTGACAACAGTGTTTTGAATGTCCAACCATTTCCAGACTGGTGCACATGGGTGGATGTTAAACCCAGGACAGAGGCTTTCATGGGACACGAAGGCACTATATTCACCATATTGGGAAGACAGTCTATGTGTGATGGTTGACAAGGAGGTTTGAGACATAGAACTGTCTTGGTTCTATCTGTAAAAGGACATGACCTTGTGTAAAATTGGATGTAGCCTGGTGTCATTTTACTCCCTACAGGCCAACCCACAACTTTAGAATAGGAAACATATCTTGTTGGGCAACCAACAATGTTTGACTTTGACGGACAGCATGGCATCAATTGTGTTGAGTCTGATGGTTTTTCCATTGTTGTAGTAACAGCCTGTGGTGGTGGTTGTGCTGCAGATGGAAATCCAGGAATCAAGGATTGTTTTGGACATAGGGCCAACATACTTAGCATTGCAGCATTGTGTCTGTATGAAATTTCTTTAAGACTGTCATTTTGATGTTTAAAAATTCGCCTAGTCAGCGATATTGTCCAAAATGCCTGCATTGTATCAAACCAAGATTCTACTTCTTTTGCTCTGTTGTCTGCAGGAATTCCTTGAATCTTACTATACTCAGGAAAAGAGGCAAATGGTTTTAACATATCAGGACCTTCTTTAATGAAAACCTGTCTCTCAACCACCTTGGATGGGATTCCCATGGTATTGGAGTGTTTGGGGCAGGATGGCAACATGGATACCATTATTTTAACAACTTCTTTTTCTTTAAAAGATATCTTAGGATCAGATATTACTGTAAGTGTTGCTGGGTTTCTTGTCAGCTTTTTCCATGATCGCCATTCTTTTGAATTCCATTCTGTTTCATCAGATTGAATGGTAAATTTGGAAGCTATTCCACAAACTTTAGAATGTTTTGGACAAGTAGGTAGCAGACCACCTGTAACCACCATATCTGCTAACATCTGATGTTGGATTGATGGAAACCCTGGTGAGCGAGCTACCCTTGGGCAGGATAGCGGCTGGATGAGACACCATTCCATTGGCCACTCTAACATGATTTCATCCTGTAATCTAAAATTACAGGGCAAAACTAGACCTTGTTGCTGAACTAAGGATGACAGCCCAGGAAGAGTAGGTTTATTAATACTCTGCAACAGTGTCATCATATTTGGGTCATAGCTCGGTGTCAGGGCAGAGGGAAAACCAGGTACACTAGCATAGAGTGGGCAAGAGGATGACATTAAGCTTATTCCTTCAACAGCCTTAATAAATCCTAAAGCTCCACAAAGAACTGGCATTTCTTTTTTGACTAGCATATTATCACATGATAATTCCTTTAAAGAAAGCCACTCTTTGCAGCAAGACAAAGATAGAGTTTGTTCAGTCCTTGAAGGTATACCAAGTATTTGAACATGCTTGGGGTAGGAGTGCCTTAAATTGATCATAGCTAGTTCTTGACATGGAGAAGATGGTAAGCCATAGATGTGTGTCTTTTGTGGGCAACATCCGTACATGTGAACCATTTTCCAACTTCGAACAGATTTTTCATCCTCCTGTATCCAATGCACAACACAAGTGCTTCGATTTTTTTCTGGTCTTTCCTTGATGTTTTTTTGTAAGGTATGCCAATCTTTGTTTTGGGAACTGTTTTCATCGAGAGCTGGTATACCAGGAGTTTTAGACTGTTGAGGGCATAAAGATAAAATACTGAGAATAGGATGTGTTACTGTGGGTAGTTTCAAATGACATATAATTTCCTGATTCAGTTCTTCACTGTCACTAGAACTTTTTTCTCTTGCAATATACCTAGCCATTCCTGTTGTCTCCTCTGAGTCAATAACTGATTGATCCTTCACGAGAGCAGTATTTTTGGTGGTTTCTCTGCATGTCAGCAAAATGTTTTCCATGCTGAGATGTTGTGTTGGTGGAGCAAATGGTTTACTTGTTTTTTCTCGTGTTGCAGATGGAAAACCAGGAATAGTTGCCTCATGGGAACAGGAAGGCAACATGTATATCATACACTTTAGATGAGCTGTACTTTGAGGCCATTGATCTTGATCAAGAAAAAAAATACTTCTCAATGGTCTTTCTGAAATTACATTTTTCAAAACTTGCCAGCTATCATCAAATCCAATGATGGTTTGTCTAGATGGCATGCCCACAATTATTCTCTGTTCTGGGCATAGTGGGAGGCTGCCAATTATTTTAGGAGGCTTCAAGGATGTTTTCAGTGATACAGATGAAAAACCTGCAATGCCATCCTTATGTGAGCATGTTGACGACATATTGACCATATTTTTATTCATATCATCGTTAGAAATATCTTGTTCCTGGGCGTAGGGTGTGCATGAAAAAAAAAGTTCTCTTACAACTATTTTTTCTGGCCACAAGGTGTCTTTGTTCCAAATGTTCCCATATCCAACTCCTGATCTAACAGAAGCTAAACCTGGAACGCTACAAATTTCAGGGCATGCAGGTAAAAACTGAGTCATATTTGTCATATTTCCTACACTTTGTCTGAAAGGTGTATCAATCAAATCCAAATATTGAGGTAAATGCATTGAAAAGCTGGGTAACCTCTTAGAAGCTATAACTTGTGACTGGTATGAAGTGGGCATCCCAGGAATCTCAGGGTATTGTGAGCAACTGGACTCTAAATAGGTTTCACATTGTTTTTTCAAACTTTCTTCGACTGGAATTTCAGGCTGTAAAGTTGACTGTAAAGGAAAGCTTGTATTTTCTCTTGGAATAAGAGGAAGTTTTACTGCAGATACATTTACACTCTTATCGTCTATGCAGTGTGAAGTAGTTTTTATGACTGGCCTTTGTGTGTCTTTTTCATACAGTAACCTAGTCTGTGATATTTCAGCTTGACCTTTCACATCACAAGGCACTTCTTCCAAACAACATGCAGTGGTGCCACGAGTTAGTGATGAAAAATGACTATCAGATTCTTTTTTTTGATTCAAAGATGTTGTGGCCTGTTGTCCAGAGAGGAATTTCACAATCGAGTCATCTTCTGGAGTGCCTTTATCTGAATACAACGTGCTCCATGTGTTCCTCTCTTTAACAGATGGCATGGAAAGAGCAGAGATAAAAACGTTGGTGCCTTTCTGCAGATTCTGGCGTTGTGAGTTTGTTAGAATGGTCTGTTTTTCCGACTTAGCCCCAGACAATATTGCAGCATCGGACAAATGTAATAAAGTTTCTTGAGCAGGCTCTCGGACTGATTTACCTAACCCAATCTTTGACAAGAGACTTGCAGGTGGAAGAACTCCCAAATCTGAAGAGGATATTGCACTATATGCATTGGGTTTTGGGATAGATCCAGAGGTGTCGGAGACAATGGCTGACTGTTTTGGGGGAAATGTTCTCAATATGTTTGTGTCTGGCTGATCCATTTTTGTTTTTGAAAATTCAACACTGTGCTCTGAGTGTAGAGATGATCTGGCAATAGTAGGATGTGAGGCCATACTGGGTCTGAAGAATAAACAGATACAGTGATATAGGGAGAATCTCTACCATCAAATCCTCCCATTAAAGTCTTTAAATTTTGGTAAGGAGAAGACAAACCAACTCAGAGCTTCAACCTTTTAAAGCAGCAATGTAAATAACAAACTGTAGCACTTGCAATACACACTCAATTTCGAGATGCTTCCCATCATACTTTTGAAAACTGCAGCAACAATACTTGCTAAGCCAAATAAGCAGTGCAATTTAAGATCAAACAATAAAAGCAGCAGTTAAAGCTCTCCATAAAATATACCAGTGCCTGGTTTTATGGGATTGCCCGTGTGCATTAGGGCAATAAATACTACAGATTTTCTCACATCGACCAATCTGGCAATTAAATCAAAATTGTCAATTTGACAGGTTGTTTAATGATGTTATCACGTGAAAACATTTCTGTTCCCAGGGAGGGGGGGCATGACAGATAATAGAGAACCACATCTATGGTGCAACATTACACACTCAGAACTCACATACTACACATAACTACCTACAGTATTTCACTCATCTACACTATATTACACAGAGTCTGGCTTACTCTTGGGAGCAATGATGACTGGCAAAAAGTTCCAAAAGAACAATGCAAACAAAAGAAAGCAATGTAGAACAATCCAAGGTAGAGTGCATAACCCAGAAATGTAAATGATTCCAGATGTAGCACCATGTGACTCCATATTTGTCCCCTCCGCTCGCTAACTAGTTCCCATGCAATTTTTTTTTCTTAACATCATACATCGAAATGAAGGAACAAGACTTAAACTTAAACCAAGGACCCCTGGTGTTGAATATTTTTGTGAAGGACTGATATTCATATGTAAGAAAACATGTTAAGACTTCTTTAACACCACAAATATGTAACACTGTTACTTTCTTGAAGCCATTACAACCTTAGAAGCAATTCAAGTAGTAAAGACCACATCATCCAAACACAGCTGTTTGCTTCTTCTATGTTTTCATGCAACCTAAAATTATAACTCTGACACAACAAGACTGTGCAAATGTTTGTGCAGAACAGCCATGCCATATACAGTATTCCAGGTCAAAAGTATGCCTTACCCCTGTGATGTCTTTACAATGGTGACGCCAAAATGTAGGTTTCTACTTCTTTCTGCAGTCCCTGAGGACTCTGGCTTTGTGAGACAGCTCGAACCAGGGGCTGAAAGAAAACATTTGTCAGCCATTAATTACTTCATTGTATCAGTACTCATGTTTGTATTATTATTATTATTATTATTGTATTTTACCTATGTGTGTTTTTACTGTTGTTTTATCTGGATTACCTGGATTTTATCTGGATTAGCTATTTTAATTTACTGAAGGAAACACCTGATGGATAATTAAAGTTCTTTCTTTCTTTCATTCTTTCTTTCTTTCTATCCATCCATCTATCTATGTAACAGACAGGGCAATTATATACTCTTCCTCTATGTGGCAGGGAGACTGACTCAAAGCTCCTCAAGGTAATTCTTTTATTATTATATCCTGCAAATACATACAGCTTTTACTTCAAACGAACAATTTATTTCATAGAAAAGTACTTTATGGGATTTGTATTTGGTTACGTCTAATGGAGCACCTCCATGGTAACTTGGCAGCTAGTGGACTTGAACCTGAAGCCTTCCAGACCCAAGTCCACGTCCTTAACAGCTAAGCCACCACTGCCCCAAGGTTGGGAAACAGTGGTCTAAATGATGAGAGCTGTGTGTTGAGGAGCTTAAGCTGCTGTGATTCTTTTCACCAGAATGAAGAGAATTAAAAATGAGCAGATTAGAGGGACAGTTGGAGTGGATGATAAAGGCATGTCACCACTGATGTCCGGCGACGGTCTGATGAGGGCAGAAGTATCATGCCAAAACTTTCACAGGTGACTATTGTCACAGTGGTAGAGAAAGAGGACATACACAAGCGATAGTCTGAGATGGAGGCAGATGATCTGCGGTGATGACCCCAAAAGGTGTCAGCTAAAAAAGAAAAATATATTTGTGTGCACTTACTTGTAGGTGAAATGGACTGCTGGTCCTCCTCACTTAGGGTGCTTAACTGTCTTTTAAATTCTACAAGAAAAGAAAAAGACAAAATAAATATTTTTATAGTAACATACTACCACAGTTTGATCAGTTATGGATTCAACCAACAGGGGGAGTTGTGCGCTTGGACATCGCATTGATTTGGTTGATCAATTAGACAGATAAGAACATCAATTCATTTGTGTTCTTTGACCCATTTTTTATTGTGTACCTGCATCTTGGTCACTATGGGTGACTGTGGAAGTATGGGTGGTAGGAGGTGGAAAGGGGGGAAGGTAAGGACCCGAGAGATAAAGAGCAGAGGTAGGCTTTGGAAGCGATGGATGGTCAGTTATGGGATGAGGTGGAGGTGTCCAGGAGGCAACAAATTCCAATTCGCCCTCATTTTTTTTCTTCAAAGATTGACCAACAGGCAAAGAAGATAAACCTGAGGTGGGAAGGACAGAAAGGAAGAAAGATAGGACGAAAGAAAGAACTAAGGAAATGGTAGCAGAAAGGCCTGAAAGAGTACACATTTTGAGTACGCCTTCCTAAATAGACACTTCCTTCAAGACCTATTTTTGTCTAATTCTTGATTACAGAGTTTAAAAGAATAGAGATTCAAAATCCTATTACCTGCATGTTTAAAGGATGAGGACTTTAAACTAGAGTAAAAAGAAAAGCATAGTTTCTAAGCAGCATTTTCCACTATATGTAATATATTAAACACTATGGGTATTGGGGAATCTCTTTGATCATAGCATTACCCAATAGAAGCACTCCACCAAGTCTCATCCAAGAAAAACATGTCAGTGGCCAGGCTCCTATTAGACAATACAGTTGTGGGGACTACATTTTTGGATCTTCTCATCCTCCCTTCATTATAGCGAATAAAAAAAAATTAATACTCATAAACTAATCAATTATCAGATTTGGTGGGATTCCGATCACGGATTGGGAATCAACCATTCTATATCGATCATAGTAGCAATAACAGAGGGCATGGTTTAAGTGTCAACATAGAATACAACAAGGACTCTAGCAAAATAAGAAAAACAGGCTAGAAAACTACAGACAATTAGCATAGCAGCATTACGTGGTATTTCAACTCTCTGTTTTTTCTGCGCCACTGCAGGATCTTCAGGATGAGTAGCTGAAATTCGCAGAAACTTAGGAGAGAAGTTTGTCTGCGCTAGTGGAGCCTGACATTTAGGAGGCCTCCATTCACTTTGCCAGGGAGCTGAAAAAGAAGGCAGAAAATGGGGAGAAGCATAGTAAAAGAAAGAGGAGTGCAAAAAGTTGAGTACTTCTGATGTCAAGACTAGTGTACCGTAATATCCGGACTATTAATAAAATAACTGCTTTGTAAAACCAGGAGTTTGAGAAGACCTCGCTTTCTCTGTACCTGTCTCAGGGGCAGATGGTAAACTGGTGGGTCTGGTGAGGACTAAGCCCGTTTCTACCACAGTAGTGGCAATATTTCTGGGCTGTGTGGGGGCAGGAGGTTGCTGCAATACAACAGGAAAGGAGCCAGGAGGAAATGATGAGGATGACAAGCAGGGGGAGACAGAAGAAACTGAAGGAACACTCTTTGTTCGCCAAATACTGGAAGTTGCTGAGGAAAGAATACAAAGGCGGCAAAGAAGAAGAACGTCAGAGCAATGAAAACAAAAAGGAGCAGACAGAATGGATTTAGCTTTGAATGTTATGGGACTACATATACAGGCAATACATCATTAACAAATATAAATTGGTTTTAACAAAATATTAGGGGATACCTAATAGTTTTAAGGTGTCCCAACACCATAAAAGTGGTACTTGAATGATATGTTACAGTTGGTAATGCTGTTTAAACAACTTAAAGTATTTTAATATTGAGTCATTTATGTGTTCATAAATACTGCATTCTTGACCCATCTGTTTACAGTTGTATACAGCATTTTATACCTTTACCCAGATTACTTCAATGTTTATATTTTTAACAAACAACAGGAATTAAATCCTGTAGTTGCAGCAGAGATTGTGACACAGCACACCACTGCACACAACGAAATGTGACCTCTGCTTTTAACCCAATGGTTGGCCACCCGTAGGCTCCAGAGCCGCATATGGCTCTTTCATCCTTCTGTTGTGGCTCCCTGTGACTTTGGAAAATAAATAATGAGTATTAAATTAAAATGTATTTTTTGTTTCAGTTTGTTCTTTTTAAAATATAATTCTAAATTTGAAGATTTTGGTAATCTGGTAACATATTTTTTTTGTCGCTAAAAATATGCGTTACATCTGCAGATGTGCACATATCTGGCAGCGTGGATTTATTCCGCACCTACATCACCAGCGTGTTTTATTAAGCTTATCGATCCCTGGTAGGTAAATGATGGATAAATCCAAGAAAAGAAAAGTTTCTGAAGAAAACAGAACATTTAATCTCCACGTGGGCAGATTCATTTGCTTTCACTGCTGAGTTCTTGCTCAGAATTGCAAATAGAGTAATACTGAAAACCTTCCCAAACCGGATAAACTAGTGTTCGAACCATGGATTGCCATTCTCAACACTTACATGAACATGAAAAGGTATGCATTTGGCAATGTTTGGATCAACATACATACTGTATGTGAGCAGGTCTTCTCCCACATGAACTATATTAAAAACAAACATCGCTCACGCCTCACAGACGTCAACTTACAGTGAAGATGAAGGTTATGTCTTACAGCCCTGATGTGCAGACGCTGTGCGCTGAGGTTGAGGAGCTAAAATCACATTAACCAGGTAAAATAAATATTTGTATTGGCTATTATTTTCCATATACTATGTATATATCTGACTGCACACTCCAGTACACACGATAAAATGATGGAAGCAGATGGCATTTATGGTTTGCATTTTTGGTTCCCTGCAGGTGAATAATTTAAGTTTGGATTTTTATTTCCTAAATACGAGGATGACTCAAATATTTTGTGAAAGTAAGCATCAACCATGTGTGTTTTTTTCAAGTTGTTTTTGATACATGCAGAAATAAAATTCAGTGTTCTCTGCAGCAGTTCATTGATTTAAAAATGCAACACACTATAGTTTTTTATGCACAGTTTATAACATTGTTGCCTTCATGTAAGGCTTTTAATTTCTTGCAGCTCCAGACAAATTTGTTTTTTGGGTCCAATATGGCTCTTTGAACATTTTGGGTTGCCGACCCCTGTTTTACAGTGGGCAGCTTTGAGCACTCTGGGATCAGTATGTGCGGATGGTGCCATGCTCAGAGCACCTCAGTGGTAACTTGGCAGCTGGTGGACTCGAACCTGCAACCTTCCAGACTACGTCCGCTTCCTTAAGCGCTAAGCCACCGCTGCCCCAATCACACACCACAACGTTTGGAGGAATTAGTAGCACTATTCTTTAACTGGAACATGGCTTTGTCTCTTGGTCATGAATTGAGTGTGAAGAGTGGCTTAAACTAGTGACAAATGGGAAGTGCAACTACAGAACTTCTCTCAGGTGACATGAAAAGTCAAGAGGACACTGCAGACAATGACAAAATGTAAAAAGAGCAGAACGTTTTGACAATGGAATTCACTCACAATGAACAGAGAAGCAGGGAGGAGTCAAATTTCCCAGGATAACACTAGCATTTCCAAATTGAGCCCTTTTTCCATTCTTTTTCCATTTTCCCATGTCTGGAAAATTGGATTCTAGCATAAATTTTCCCAGAGTAGTTTTCCCGAACTACAGAGATCCTGATCCTATGGTCCTATGTTGGAATTATGTTTCTACGACACAACCTAACTAATCTAAGTCAGAACTCACATACAGTCCTGTACATAAATACCTATGTCACGCACACACCATGGTTACACGTTACTTATCTAGGACAGGCGTAAGCAAACATTTTGACTTGTGGGCCTAGACTTTGACAGGAGGGTCGGGTCAAGAGCAGATAGATGGAGCGTTCATGTGAACCAAGATAAATGACAAGTCTTGCATAGAGGCTAAACGCTAAAATGCTCAAAAAATGCTGAAAAAAAAAAAAATTTCTACGCCATGTATTGGGGAAACATGGGTATTGCAGGGCAAAAGCAGTATAAGTATAATGATAAACAGAAACTGGAAAAATTGTCCTTACTGCAGTTAATTATAGTTCTTTAATTTCAGTTAATTATAGTTGTAATTTCTGCATTTTATTCGATTTATTTATTTTATTTGAATTTTGAAATAAATAAATGTTTGGGAAAAAAGGATCCTGTGACTTTTGTGGAGACGTTCTTACGTAGATCCTCTGTGACTCGTGCAAATGTGTTTAAATTTAAGAAAAAAAAAATCTAAGTTTACAACTTTAAGATTCATGTTTTCTGTAATTATGGTCATGTGTTCTAACAAGTCCCTCAGACTAAATTTTATATCGCAAAGCTATAGAGAATATATGCAAATACTGTATATATAAAAATCTAATTTTCTTTGGTCTAAATACTTTTAATGATTTTTGATGGTTTAAAGTGGACTCCTCTGCACAGTACCTGTTTGAGATGTGTGCGAGAAAGTTGGAGAATGAGGGGACTGCTCACAGGCTGAAGTAGAGAATGAAACAGCTTCAGGTGGGAGGAAGATAGGGAAGCTTTCAGCTGGACAGAGGTCACTGTGGAAACTGTGAGGCCTGCGAGGAGCTAAAATAAGCAGGGAAACGAAGCATGGACAGAAATAGTAAAAGCAGATAAATAAATAGAAAGGCCAAAAAGTAAAACAAAAATAGGAAAAAGCAGATTAAAGAGAAGAATAGAAGTATTTCCATTGTGTAATCAGAAACGGAGACAGGGTTATTATTTTTGTCTTTTAAAGAAAATTATCTTTTTTTTTTGTACATGCAACTGTAACACCGCAGCAGACAGGACTGTTTAGCACCAGCAGTGGTTTTGTTGGATTTTAGGCGTATGATGGAGGATAACCTTGGGATAAAAGTTGAGTTTGAAAGGTGGTAACAAATTGGATTATTTATTTATGTATGCTGATGATGCTGTGTTTGTCTGCTCTAGGTATTTTTTTGATAACTGCTTTATCATGGGGACCTTTTGTCTTTTATGGCACACTTTTCTGGTTCTCATTGGGAAAGAGGATATTTTGAGGTTAAATGTTTAGTTTGGAATTAGGATGAAAAATGTGGCTAGAATGGTTAAGGTTAGGGTATGTCTTAGACAATGCACAGTCTGTGTCAAGTTCTCACAATTCATGAAAACCACATGAATGGTTAAGGTTAGGGTATGTCTTAGATAATGCACAGTCTGTGTCAAGTTCATAAAAACCACATTGTGTCTCTTAAGGTGTGTGTTTAAAAATGTAGATACATGGATTTGATGAATACAAATTGTTGACGTTGGTGGATAGAGTAACAAAAATGTCCTACGCAAAGAAAATTTAATTGTAAGTGTCGTGTAAGTGCTGAGGGATTTAAACATTTTACGACACTTGAAACAAGTGTGTCCATTCACACTGAATACTGTAGTGCAGAGGTCTTCAACCTTTTTTGTTCTAAGGACCAGTTGGCTTGTACCAGCCGGTTCTGGACCAGTAGCGGACATGTTGTTTCGCAAAGGATTGTTAAAGCATTTTTAAGATCAGTTAATTTTCAAAATTATACATATTTTAAGCTTTATTCTGTACGCATTGTTGTCTGAAAGACAGAAAGGACAACTTGCATGTATCTTTAAATGAAAAAAAACTGCCCTTGCATGTATCTTTAAATGAAAAAAAAAAACTGCAATTACCAGATTCTCTTTAAATAAAACATATTATAAATGTATTCAATGCGACTAGGTACAAACTGACCCATGGACCGGTGTAGGGTTGGAGACCCCTGCTGTAGTGACTCTCAGGAAATACATGACAATTCAGTTGTTTTTCTCAAGTGAACCTGCCTACCACAGTCTTACCACCTAGTAATGATAGGCTAAATTATTCAAAATGTTAAGATATTTTCCTTTAATCTGCTTTTAAAAAATGAGTGTGAGTCAACACCAAACATCTGTGTACCAATACCTGATCTAGCACCGGGTTGAAAGATTTTTGGAAGTGCAGGAGGGTGAGCCTGTTTGAAGGCTGGTAATGAGTAGGCATAGTGGGAGGGCCGTGTCTGCTGGTTAGTGTTTGGTGGTTGCGAATAAGGTGGCAATAAAGAGGATGACACGGAGGGATGAGGAGGTGCAGGCCCAGGGGGGTTTAATGCTGAGGAAATGCTGAAGGATGATTTTCGATCAGACTCTGAGTGACAAATGAGAAGTGAGATAAACAGAGAACACAAGATGAAAGGTAGGACTGGTTGACATTAAAAAAAGTGTGTAAAAAGAAGGCAAAAGCAGACCCAGCATACATGTCATACGTGCATATATAAATTTACATCATATGGATTGGTGTAAGTACTAAGGCCTGCAGTCTTCAAACAACTGAAAGATGCTGCAGACGCTGCAAAAAACAGCATGCAGCAAATCATTTTCTGCATTCAGTGTTGGAGACAAGGACATAAGGGAGATCACACACAAATGCTAGAGCTAACATGTCGTTAGCTTGGAAGTACTTCCCTGTAGTCAAGAAAGCTCCATGCTCAGTTACGTTAACTGTCAGGGAGCCACTAAAACCAAATCGGCTCTTTTCATATCAGCCTTACTACAGTTGTTTCAAGTCGTGTCATGCTGCGTTATTGGGCCTGCAAGCTAACCCTAACTGACGTTTGGATAAGTATCATTAGATAATGTCGACAGGCACAGATCATACAGACCAGACCTGCACAAGCTGTTATTTGTCAGACAGTTGTCTGCACAGGAAACCATTTTATATTTAGTAATCCATTCCAGTCACCAAACACTTTATTTTAAGAGTTGCTCAACTGTAGAGAGACACTATGACTGAAGGCAGTTTGTGTGAAATGTTTCATAATTACCCGTTATGAAAATAAAATTTGCCCTTAATAACACTTTTTTGCAAAGGCTGAAATAGAAATCAGAAATCAGAAGCAGCAACAAGTCACGCTCCCCCCAAAAAAACTCCATCCAAATTGCCTAATCAGAATTGACAAGTTGCAAACAATCTGTTGGGTGTACCTTTTCAAAACCATGCAAACAAATCGCAACATGCAGGTAACAAAGGAGCAGCTGCTCTGCGAACATTCCAAACCAGTCATTGCACGACGATCGACAGCACAAACTGATGGCATGTCTAACATGAACAATGAACAATTTTTTAGTTAAGATAATATTATTTTTATGGTGGGTTTTAATTATTGAAGTGGTCTATGTAGCAACTTTGTTGCTATCTCATTGAGGTCTTGGCTATATTGATGACCTGTTACATTTTAGTTTGAAAAGATACTCAGATTTAAACTCCTGCTCAAAGTTTTACTTTTATTTTAATTCCAAAGGTGCTGCTAAAATCTAAGGTTGGACGAGACAAGAAGAAATTACAGAAAACAATCAACGGGAAAGTCAGAAATAATCAATTTGCAGATGAAAACTTATGGAAGTAAAAACTTGTAAGGAAAATGTCGGCAACATCCAAACAAAATATGTTTTTAGCAAAAAAGGTAGACAACAGGCCACAACCTCAACTACTGGGTAGCTAGGTGCTGGGTTAATGTAATCAATCTGCATGTATCTATACAGGCAGAGTGCCACACCATTCTGAAAAGTATCAACAAAAGTGCAGTTGCTATACACAAGGGCTAATGCACGGTGGTTGATGGTGCAGCGGGTGATGTCCGGGTGGAGTAATGGAGTAATCCTGCCACGGGATAATGGCAAAAAGACAGGAGATCCCGGGTGAG